GAGCCTGCTAGTTTTGTGATCATCACATTCCTGAGCCCCCTAGTTTCCTGATCACGTTTCTTCCCCCCTCCTCTTACTCATCCGAATCAGACACACTCAGCTCGGAGCAGAAGCCTCACTACAGTTGGCAGAACGCTCTCGCCCGGTTCCCCGTCCAGCCACACCCCCGCCCTAGCTCCTTCTGAGCCAGGAGAAAAGGGAAGGCTGCGGCCAACATCAGGAACTGGCGCGCCGGGACGGGATGTTCCAGTCCGAACCGGGCTGACATCACGGCCGGCGCACGGCCAGGGTTTGGAGAAGGGAGTGTGGGAAACGCCGAAAGCCTGAAGGGGTCCTGGTGCTGGGGCAGAATCGGGGACCCCGAGTAACCGGGAAGGAGGCAGGGGACATGCCCACCCAGAGTGTTGGGTGTGGAGCCGGGAAGGTTGGGAGCAAGGAGTGAGAGAAGTGGGAAAGCAAAGTGTAAGGAAAGTAAAGACAGCCAGCAGTACAGCCGCCAGCTGCAGAGAGAGGGAAGACACCTAGGTCCCCAGGGAGGGGGTGGGGTGGCCAGCGACAAAGCAGGAGGATTTGTGGGCCATGAGAGTTGGCGAAGCGAAGGCTCAGCTCTGGGCCGAAGGCTTGATTCTGGGGAGGTGCCCGGGTACCTACCTGCCGCTCTGGTGTCCTCCGGCCGCCTGCCCACTCCGTACCAGCCTGCTGCCGTGTAGCGGAGTGGAAGCTTCGTGGGGCCGGGAGGCGGTTGCATAATGCCAGGCTCTGCCCCTCATTGGCCCCCTGCCGGCGGAACCGCAGACCCCGCCCCCTATTGGTTGGGGACCTGGTTCTAGCGACTGATTGGCTACTGGCCTCTACTGAGGTCAGCGCTGTGTCACACACACAGGCGCACGTGGATCTGGGTGCTGGCACTGGGCTGAAGGGCCCCAGACACCACCCAGCCAATAGGCGTTGGGCGCTTTGCACTGGGAATAGTGGAAGAGATGTTAAGGTTGGTTAAGCTGCCTTCTTCAGGGAAAATATCTGGCCCACAGGAGATGATACTGCCTGAACTGGCCAGCCTAGTAGAACAGAACACCGTCTTCTTGCCAGGGGTGGGGAAAGGAATGCAAACCCTGGGAGGCAAATCATGCCAGATGGAATGGCTGGCCCCTGAGGGGTGGGGGAGGGAGAGACAGAAACCCAGTTTGGCCTTTCCTGGGTTCCCCTCCTGAGCTATCATAATGATGGGGAGTGGGAGCCCTGTCTTTTAACCACTCTTCCACTGACACTTCACGTTCCGCCCACAGCAGAGAGGAGGGCAGCTGAGGGTCCACGCATGATGCGTTGGGGCAAACAAGAAAGGGGCAGTCAGGACCAAAAGACACTTCAGAATTGAAAACAGTGGCAAGAGCTCCAAGGTCAATCAGAGAAAAGGGCAGCCTAAGTGGTAATTAGTGAACTAAGTGCTTCTCCCAGAGGATGCAGCTACCCACAGTTAGGATTGCCCGAAAAGCGAAAAGCGGGGCGCAGGCAGCAAGGATTACAACCAATGGGGTGGCTGGTAAAAAGGGCTAATTAGATCCTGGACACAGAAAAGTAAGGGGGCAGTGACCTCAGATCTTCACCCCTAAAAGAGAAAGTCAAGGCCAAGGACCACTACAGCAAAATATTTCATCTAGCTCAAGTCTTCGAAGACACAGAAGAATTTCATGAAACAACATATGAGCAAGAGCCTATGGTGATGAAAGAAGTTCAGGCTGCTTTGAAGGAAATGGCAAAAAATAAGGCTCCAGGAATAGATGATATACCAATTGACATATTTCAGTTAACAGATGCTGCCATGGACATGCTTACCAAGTTGTGCCAAGAAATCTGGAGAACAACCACTTGGCCAACTGACTGGAAGAGATCAATATTTGTTCCTATCCCAAAGAAAGGTGACCCAACAGAATGTGGAAACTACAGAACAATCTCACTGATTTCACATGCAAGCAAGATTTTACTGAAGATTATCCAAAAACGACTGGAACAGCACATCAACAGAGAACTACCAGAAGTCCAGGCTGGGTTTAGAAGGGCTCGTGGTACTAGAGATATTGTAGTTGATGTTAGATGGATGTTGGCTGAAAGCAGGGAATACCAGAGGAATGTCTATCTGTGTTTCATTGACTATGCAAAGGCATTTGACTGTGTAGATCATAACAAACTATGGCTGACCCTGAGAAGAATGGGAATCCCAGAACACTTGATCGTTCTAATGCGAAACTTATACTTGGACCAGGAGGCAGTCGTCAGAACAGAGCAAGGGAACACTACATGGTTCAAAATTGGGAAGGGCGTATGCCAGGGATGCATCCTATCTCCATACCTTTTCAACCTATATGCAGAACAGATTATCCGGGAGGCTGGGCTCTATGCGGAGAAATGTGGGGTCAAGATCGGTGGACGATTTATCAACAATCTGCGTTATGCGGATGACACAACCCTGCTTGCTGAAACTGAAGAGGACCTGAAGCGCCTGCTGCAGAGTGTCAAGGACTGCAGCCTACAATATGGATTGAGGCTCAATGTCAAGAAGACAAAGATTCTCACCACTGGACCAATTGGCAGCATCAGGATGGATGGTGAAGAGATTGAGATTGTACACAGCTTTAGTTTGCTTGGCTCCATAGTCAACAGTCTTGGCACCAGCAGCCAGGAAATTAAAAGGCGCATTGCCATGGGAAAGTCTGCTGTTAGGGACCTCTCCAAAGTACTGAAGAGCAATGGTGTCTCTCTGGAGACTAAGGTGCGTCTGATACAGGCCATGGTCTTCGCAATCACTTGTTATGCATCAGAGAGTTGGACAATGACCAAGGAGGCTAGAAGGAGAATTGATGCCTTTGAGCTGTGGTGCTGGAGAAGAGTATTGAGAATACCATGGACTACTCGGAAAATAAACAGATTTGTCCTGGAAAGGGTTAAACCGGGTGGCTCCTTGGAGGCAAGGATTCTGAGGCTCCGTCTAATATACTTTGGACATGTTGTAAGGAGAGACCGGTCCTTGGAGAGGGACATCATGCTTGGGAGGGTGGAGGGACAGAGCAGGAGAGCAAGGCCCTCTATGAGGTGGATTGATTCAGTGACTGGGATAATTGGGATGGGAGTGTCAGAGACAGTGCGATTGGCACAGGACAGAGCGGAGTTTAGGGCTGTTGTACATAGGGTCGCTATGAGTCGCAAGGGACTCAACGGCACATAACAACAACACAACAAGTCTCGATCTCCCAGAACCCAAGTCAAAACACCACATCCTACAAAGCAGGTGATCATTATGTCATTAACACAGAGATGAATGAAAATAAAGCTAAGCAATACAAAAGAGGTTGGATATGAATTTTTTTTTTAAAAAAAAAAAAGGTGTGCGAGCTGAACCCTGAATCCTAGAAAGTGAACTTGATTTGAGTGAATAAAGCGCCGGGCCCAGGAGAGCTGCCTTCCACTGCTTTCCAGGACTCTGACTAGCAGTAGTCACAGGCTCCCTGGTTGGATGTGGATGGCAAGTGAAGAGGTCCCTAAGCTGCTGCTGATATCAACTGTGGGTGCACTCTTGTCACTGTCACATGGCTCAAGCTTTCTTTAACAGTGGTATTCCCCGTGGGCTTAGTGGACACAGAGGTGTTAAAAATTAGAAACATACAAAGTCCAAAGCAGGAATACACAACAACAAAGGCTTCCAGTGCCCCCAAATTAGTCTCTCCTTGAAAATATTTCCCACAATTCACATACTTACTGTTTACCCTGACTATGGATGGTCCTGTCCCTTGTCTCATTTTCAGACACTTTTTTTCCTAGAAACAACCTTTTTTTCCGCCCTCTGCACATTTGCTCCGGGGTTTACGTGTAATTTTTCCTCACTAGGGTAGGCTTTGTTCTCATAACTGCACCTCTGTATCTTATCCTTTGCAAAAGCAAGAAGGTCTAGTGCTGCAGCAGCTCCCATCTGCTCCCAAGGCTTTGACTGGCTGCCCTGCCTCACGGTC